TACTTTTACTCAAGTATGGAAAGTGAGTACTTTTGCCATCTCTGAAAGCGATAAATGCAAATCTGATGTCTTGCGTACTGACTGTAGGTATGCTGGTCTGACGGGGTATGCTCACCTGACAGAACACCGGCTCTGGTGTTCCCACAGCATGGCGATCAGAGCCGAGTCGATTATAACACGGGTCGTCTGACCCAGGTAGACGGGCATCAATGAGCTTTTCCCGCTGCCTCTAAAGGCCAATTGTTCTTAAACTGGTTTTTCAGCCGGTGGGAAAGGGGTAGAAGTTTCCTTAAAGTGCTTCCAGTATCTGAGCTATTGGTCTATTAGTAAAATCGAATCAGATTTTACCGTTCTGCTACCAAAGCAAAGTATTACATCAGACTACTGGTGTGACTGAACAGAAATGTAAACACATGAACATAGAAATGCAATAAAAACATCAAAATGACATTACATTGGATGGAGAGATTTCCTGGCCTTACTTGGGTATTTGCCTCCGCGGCTCCTCTTGATGAAGCAGACAATGAGGAGAATCAGTATAATGAGGGCGATGGCGCACATCAGGCCGATGAACCAGCCCTGAGTGGCTATGTCCACCTGGTCTATGTGAGCTGGAGACAGAGACAGAGAGGAAGTTCTGGATCAGCATGAGTTCTGCTCCCCTCAGCCACTTTGGTCCTCATCAGCATCTCATTTTTAAAAGGAATAACAACAAAACTAATGTCTTTACACATTTAAATACACAAAGAAATGCCATCCATCCATTTCTTCCGTTTTATCCGGTGCCGGGTCGCAGAGGCAGCAGTCTAAGCAGAGATGCCCAGACTTCCCAATTCACACATACCTCCTCCAGTCGGTCCGGAGGGACCCTGAGGCGACACCAGGCCAGCTCAGAGACATAGTGCCTCCATCCTGTTATTAATAAATGATTAAAATAAAATTACTCAGAACTCCTTATCTGATCCTAATGATCAATTACACAAAGGAAGAATTTTGGACTTTCTTTCCTCTGGGCTCTATGACTGTATTTGTGGTGTTGCTGCTAAGTGAAGCTGCAGCTTTGCTCAGGATAGGATCCTTCATCCTCCATTGTTTGTTCCTGAGGATTAGCATTCATGCACATAAACGCAGGCATGGCCCACATTGCTCAGACCATGGGTGGGTTTAGGAAATCTGGGGCCTAGACATCAAACAGCCCCATTCTCCAGATAGAGAAATGTTAATAGAATAG